CCCTAATTATGATGCTATCTCTAACATAACAATGTAAAACTAAGGATTCGAGTCGAACTTAAGAATTTTGGGATCGAGTGTTTTCGAGTCGATTCAAATCCATTTAAAAAATTTTCGAATCAAATCCAGTTCAGTAATACTCAAACTCGACTCAGCTCGTTTACTGCCCTAATTATGATGCTATCTCTAACATAACAATGTAAAACTAAGGATAAACCATCCCTTTAGTCATTAAACTATGGAGTTGGCTACTAGATTTTTCAATGGGTCTTAACAATGGTTATGTGGTCTCTTTTAAATTGGTATAATAACACATTTAGTCTCCGATATTTATACATTCTATCAAATTGGTTTTAAATCTAAATAAATCAACAATTTTAACCTTCTACATTTACAAAGTCTATCAATTTGGTAATAAACCTAAAATATTTAAATATATATATATAATAGCATAAAAATAATTATAATCATTAAAATGTATAAAAAAAATCCATTGTGTGGGAAAAAGTCTCAATATGTGTATATAAACACTGCCTCAGATTATGTTGGATGTAATATTGTACCATTAACAGTCAACATAAATAAAGCAATAATATGTTTAAAATACAAATAGTGGCATAATAAGGGATCAGTGCATACCATATGATTTCGATAGTAAAGTAATTGTTATTATTTCTTGAAATCTCGAGTTCAAGTACCATAAAAATTTGAGCACTACTTTAAAATAACAGTATAATTTGGACACTTATTTTTATATTAAACCTTAACTTTAATGCCTATAGTAATTGACCAAACATATATTGAAGGTTTACGACGACTAAATATTTATTCTATAAGGCTTTAACCAATTTAATCATAACATGTAATCTTTTAAAAGGTATTCTACATAAACAATCTTTTCTTCCTTTGAATCAAAATTCGTCGTTTTTTTCACTTTAAATCAACATTAAAATGGAATAGAATCTTAAGTTAAATTATTATTATTTATTAATCTTCAGGTAATATATATATATCCAAAAAATTCTTAATTATTTAACAATGAAAACTCAAACACCATTATAATTTTTAATGATTGAAATTAAAATTTTTAGAATAATAATTATCTCTTTAACCACTAAAATACCGTGCATTTAAATTATTATGGTTACTTAGTTTATAGAATCAAAGTCAAAGCCGAAAGAATTCAATTAATCTGCCTACAAGAACCTTCTTTTACCTTTTAGCCTAAATTAAAAGATAAAAATAGACTTGTTACTACTTAAAGGATTTGTTTGAACTAAATCAATGAATGGTAAAACCCTGACAAACTTAGGAAGCTTAACCAGTCCATCAGAAGTCTCTGATTGGTTTGAAGATCCAATGAACCAGTAAAATCTTGTCCCAATTGGCAAAATATTGAATTAAATCTAAATATGTTCAAACTTCAGTTAAAATTGATTTCATCAATCGAACTAAAGTTCTTTTTGTGGTTAATCGATCGATAAATTTTAAGCTCGACCGGTTAACAATTAATGATTTCTTCACACTTTGATTATCGATTAATTCGGTTCAAAATCGATCGGTTAATCAAAATTATTAAATATTTATATATATATATATATATATATATATATATATATATATATATATATATATATATATATATATATAAGATTATTTAAACTTCAATTTTAACAAAACTAACTTATCGAAATAATCAAAAATATTAAATATATACTTCAATTAACCGATCGATTAACCAAATTTTGTTCAATTAGGTAAATTATTTTTGAAAAAAAATATTTCAATTAATAGTTAAAGGGGAAAAAGTTTTGGTGGATAAATTTTTGAAAGTTCTATTCGGTCGGTTCAGGATTGAACACCCCTAATTAAACTGGTAAAGGGATGAAGGAACTTCTATGTTGATGGTGTGGCTCAAATTGCATTACATATATATATTGTAATTGAATTATCATTTATCACAAACTGATAACCAACGGTTGAGATTAATAAATGTCATTCATTCATTAAAATAAAAAAATACACAAATAATCCCCTAGCTATAGGATACTGCTTTGTTAGGTATCTTGACTATTAAAAGTTATAAAATGATTCTTGACTTTAGGGAGTTGTTTTATTAAGTCCCTCGACTATTAAAAGTTATAAAATTATCACCGAGTATTCATTATTAACGTCCTCTCAGACAACTCTTACTTCTTAACGAAAATGATGAGTTGGAACATAATGAATAGTCGGATGATTATTTTGTAACTTTTAACAATCAATAAACTCACCAAGACAACTCCCTATAGTCAAGAGGTCATTTTATAACTTTTAATAGTCGAAAAATAACAAAACAATATTTTATAATCCGAGGACCACTTGTGTACTTGACCCTAAAAAATAGAAGTTACCTACCATTCTTATGATCACATGTACCCAAGAGCAGTGATACTAAGAGAAATATATTACAATCCATCTTCGCAAAATTCGAGTATTTTACAAAGGCATAAGCTGAAATATAACTCCAAACCATATGAGTCAATCTACAGCACACTTTACATCGGATCATGTGCTGGTCGTGTAATCTAACTTAAACGAACTGTACCTTCTGTAAATACATAAGATTTGCAGCTTTGAAAGATTTCAAAACAGTACCTTGATATGGACGCTGCACTATATTACTTGGACTCAAGGGCGTCGAATACAGGGATATACTTAAGCTTCACATTTTTCCAGGCATTTGAAGTATCTGAGGGTTATCCCAACCATGTCCAAATAAGTGCCAACCATGAGAGCTCTCAAGAAAGATGTAGAGTCGGAGCAACATAGAATAGTTGGCACATAACTCGGATGAAAGATCTACTACATTAAAATACATAAGATTTAAGCTCCGAGAGTTTAAGTTTATTTAGGATCCACTACCTACATAATACATAACTGTCGTAACTGTCCTTTGGGTGAACCCGAAATTGAACTTCAACTTAAATAAAACATGTTAAAGCCATTACCGATTATTTAAAATTAGATTAATCGAATACCTTAATTTACCATATTACATGATCTACATTTTACTAGAAATGTACCAGATTCAGGAGTCGATTACAATCAAGGAATAATTCACCTTTGTATTGCCCTTTCAGTACTAATTTAATTTCTCGGTTGTCTTAATTAAATGACCCTAAAAAGATAAAAAAAAATATTAGATGACAAAATAAAATAGATATTAAATATATCAAAGGGGAAAAAAGGTTAAATTAAGAAAATAAAAAGTTAAATAGAAAAATATTAGAAGAGACAAATAAAATAAAAAATAAAATGAAGAATAATATTTAATTTTAAAATAAAATATAAAAAATGTTAGAAGAGAAAAAAATAAAAAAAAAATAAAAAAAGAAAAGAAAAGAAAAGAAAAAATATTTAAAGAGAAAAAAAGGAAAAAAGTTTTTTTAAGAAAATAATAAAAACGTGTTAAAATTAAAAGAAAAAAATAAAAAAAGTTTATGGAACAGAATTAGAACAAATTGAAATCTATAGATCAAATTAACACTAAAAAATGAGCTACACGAGAAAAAAAACAAAAATTAAGAGTTGAATTGCAAAATAATAAAAAAGTAAATAAGGACTAAATTGAAACAATTCAAAATTTCAATGTCAATTTGCAACAGGTGATCAAAATCAATTATACTTCAAATCTTAAGGGACTGCGAAAATAATTTAAAAATTTACTAATTACACATAAATCCCTCGATTATAAATACCAAAAAACAACAAAAAAAAATTAAAACCAAAACTAAAACTAAAAAAAAGATCCATTTATCGTCCTAAAGCTAAACTCGAGCTTCGAATCCCTAAAATAAACCCCAAATAACATAGATCTAAAAAAATCATTCGATTTTTACCTTGATTCGACGATGACTCTTTGCTTTTTCCGGCGACATTTAGCTTCCTTCGATCGTGCTTTGCTTTGCTTTGCTTGTTAAAACCGAAGCTTAAAACTTGGGTTTTTATGATTTTTTTGCCCTTTTCGGGGCATTTTTTTGCTATATTCTTGCTCTTGGGATTGTTATTTTATTTGCTTCATAGTTGCTCTGGTGATGCCTTTTTCTTCTTGTCCTTATGCTGCTTCACCAGTGGCCTTTTATAATCCTCCGGTAGTGAGTCGTTTGCTGTTATCCCACTTTAATCGGGGTGTTAGGTGTAGTCGATCGTTCGGCACATCGTTGTTGTTCGAATTTTGCTTCGATTTCACTGTTTTTACAATTTCAGAGGCTGAAAATTCCGACCGGCTCTCGAATCTGTTGTACGCGTTATCTCCACGCGCGCTCCCATGAGATGCCCTTCCTTACTACAAAACCCTAGTTTGATTTTTTGGGCTGGGTCAAGCCCCCTAACCGGGCATGCTTTGCTGGGTCAGGCTAATATAGTTCGATTGGGCCCCTTTGTTGGATTGAACTCTTTGGACCTGACAAAAACAAATAATAATAATAAATATAATATAAAAATATATAAATAATATTAATACAATATATAATGTAATGAAATATAATTATATAACTATATAATATGTAAGTGTATAACTATGTAGTATATATTATGTTTTCAAAAATCATTTTAATATATATATATATATATATTCAAAATATGTTTTCAAAATCATATATTAAATGTTTTCAAAGCTATATATTATTTATGTTTCAAAAATGTTTTCAAATATTATATACGTTTTAAAAAATGTTTTCAAAATTATATATTATGTATATATTTTTAAAACGTTTTTAAAACTATATATATTATACGTTTTCAAAAATGTGTTTTCAAAACTATATAATATATGTTTTTAAAAACGTATTTTCAAAACCATAATATATATTTTCAAAAACCGATTTTTAAAAGCTATATATTATATACTTTCAAAAAACGTTTTTTAAAAACTATATATTATATGTTTGCAAAAACTACATTATATTATTATATATATACTAAATAAACCCCGGACGAAAATGAGTGACTACAATAACATATCAACAGCCCATCCAATATGAAAATGTCCTGTCAATGAATCTACTTAATCCTACTCCGGGAACATCATAATTCTAGAAGAGCCTGCAAAATCTATTTAGCCATAACAGATCATCAATAATCAACTTTATAAAAGCAGTCTGTGAAAACACTCTCTTCAAATAAATGTGCACAATTTTAATGTGAGGCAAATTTTAACTCACTCCAGATGCTATTATTAGTAATAGGCCATGGCTTCATCCTTCTTCATCCTCAGCGTCAAATGAGGTATTTGATGCTAAGTCTACCTCCACCGGATGCAGGGAACGACCTGAAATGTCATAGAGATGGTTATACTCTGTCATTCAAAAGTATTTAGGAAAAGAAAAAGGGATCTTATGCATGATCTCCATGTAGTCTGTTTGAAGAAGAAATCTTTCTCCACAACTTTTTCTAATAGCCATCACAGGCACAGAATCCATATAACTTATCCAAAAGGTCTTCATCTCTTATTAGGTATAATATAAATATAGCAAGAAGAAACACCAAAAAGATCATAATTTCAAAAGCCAATCAGGCTTCGAGCTTCCTTAATAAATCCTATTACCTGCAAACCTTCTTGGGAAAACATTGGGAACATGCAGAGCCTCCAGTGAATTGCGCTTGCGCACAACCACAACGATAATCAGGTAAATCTTACAGGATTTCAGGATGTGCTCTCCAATAGGGAAAGCGGGTGCTTAACTACTGTTGAACTTACTGTGGGTAGCAATCTTCAATCACTAAATTTCAACAGCTTCAAATCAATGGAGAAATCTTATTACGAGATGACCATTGCAAATTAATGAACCAAGTATTTTCGAGCCAGCGAGACCGAATTAAAATAGGATAAAGTAAATAGATGGGTTTCTAAATATAGGATCAACTATTAAAAGTTACCAAATGGTCACTCAACTATTTATTATGTTTCAAATACATCATTTTTCGTTAAAAATTAACGAAATGTTACATGTTAACTAAGATGTGATAAAATTTAATCAAATAATCTCATACGACAGTTAATTTTCTAACAAAAAAAAAAAAATATAAGTTTAGAACATAACAAATAATCGAGCGATAATTTTCTAACTTTTAATAGTCGAGGACTCGACAAAATAAATGCTACAACATACCATTTTGTAATTTTAATAGTCGAGCGATCCAACAAAACAATATACTATAATCGAGGATCATTTGTATAGTTTACCCATTAAACTAAGTAGGTTATTTGGTTAAATTGGTGAAACTTGAAACTACACTTACATTAATAAATATTCGTATAGTACCGTCGCCTAAAATTTCAAACCCATTCATTGTAAAGGTAGGATTTTACCTAAATTAGAAGTGGAATCCTCACACAAAATTGAAAGAGGGAAATGAATTAAAATTGCACAGCAACTGGTAAAGGAAAATACCTTTGATAAAATAGTCGGAGGAGGGCCAACCTCGGGCGGTGGTGGTGGACATGGATTCGTCCGGGGTCAATGGGTTAGCCAATTTCTCAACAAGCTGGGAAAGAGCGTGAGATCGGGCCGTTGACGGCGGGACCCAGTAAGAGGATCCGGGGATGAAACGGAGCCAATCGGGAGCGGAACGGCTAGAGATGATCCGGTGGATAGAGTCTTCAAGAATCCGGAGGAGAGGATCAGAGTAAGGATCGGAGGACTCGGAAGGGTTGGGTTCATTGGACTGGGTTCGGAAGGAAATGAGACGAGAGGAAGAAGGGCGAGGTTTGGTGATTGGGATGAGCTTGAGAATGGATTGGGAAAGGGATCGCGCCATTAAAATGGTGGAGTGAATTCCTGAATTCTTGATTTGCTGAGAGTGGGAGAAAGTCGGCTGACGGATAAGGGGAAGGTGATAGGGAAGGAATTTGCGAGCCATTTTCTAATTATGGAGAGTACAAGAAGGCGGTAGAAAGAGAAAAGATGAGAGGGACTGGGATTGGGTTTGGCAACTCTATGCTACTCGACTTTATACGAGACCAGATATATCATGAATTATTTAAAATTTAATTGAAATTTTAATTAAATAAATTTAATTCGAGTTTTTAACGAGTTGAAATAAATTAATTGATATTTGATTCAAAAAATTCGTAAGTAATTCAAGAAAATAACATATTAAATTTTTATTTTTTAAAATTAAATTATTAATAATATTAACATGTTTTTTAAATAGAATATAAGGTTTTCATGTACTCAAACTGAGCTTCAATTTTTTGAGTTCAAGTCAAACTTAAAAATTTTAAGCTCGTGAGCTTTTGAGCCGAGTCAAGCTTCAATTTTTTTATTTTAAGTTTGAGTCGTACTTGACAATTTTAAAATCAAGAGCTTTCAAATCGAGTCTAACATAAATTTAGTGTTTTCAAGTCAAGTCGAGCACAACTAAACTCGTTTACAACTGCTGTGACACATCTTCAATTTTAATTTATTAGAAAATAAAACTACAAAAAAATATGGTAAACTACGTATTTAATAACTCAACTATCATTTTAGTTTTGTTTTGGTTATCTTCCGTTAAAAAATAAACAATATTGTTGATGTAATATTTTTATTTTATCAATAATGACGGAGATTTCCTTATGGTGGTGTAGTCACTCATTTTCGCCTGGGGTACTATTTAATATATATAATATATATAAAATTTTGAAAACATATATAATATATATTTTTTGAAAACGGTTTGAAAACATATATATATAATATATAGTTTTTTAAAAAATATTTTGAAAATATATATAATATATAGTTTTTGAAAACATTTTGAAAGCATATACATAATATATAGTTTTTGAAAATATTTTGAAAATATATATAATATATAGTTTTTGAAAATATTTTGAAAATATATATAATATATAGTTTTTGAAAACATTTTGAAAGTATATATTATATTGTTTTGTAAACATTTTGAATATATTATATATATATATATATATATATATATATATATAATATATAGTTTTTGAAAATATATATTATATAGTTTTTAAAAAATATTTATATATTATATTATAGTATATTATTTATTATTTTATTTTATTATTTTCATTTTCTTTCTATTTTATTTATTTTATTTTTTGTTATTTGGTCCAAATAGGAAGTCCAAAATCCAAGTCCAAGGTTCAAGTCCAAATCTAGAGGGGATGAAAGAGCCCAGCCGGGTGGCAGGCCTGACCCAGCAAATCGACTAGGCCAAGGACCCAACAAATTGACCCGGTCAAGGACCCAACAAACCAACCCGACCAAGAGTCCAGAAAACCGACCCGACCCAAGTTCGTCTGACCCAGTAAACTAGGGTTTTCAACTTAAGTAAAAGCGTCGCACGATTCTCAGCCATAAGATCAAACATCAATCGAACGACCCATTTCGTATATCAATTAGGGTTTATAAAACCCTAAAAATGTTATCACGCGCTACACGATCCTGAGTCGTTGGATCTGCATACAATCCAACGACCCACAACAGACCGCCGAGCAAAGTGGAGTTCGACCGACTTAAAGAAACCATCCCCTAATAGGAAACTATTTTTCCAACAATCAACCCAACAACGCGATTCCATAGGATTCAAAAACATGCACTTCTATCCTAATGAAACACTAAATTGAACGAAAATAAGGGACTCATAATGCTATAAATCACTGTAAAAATCAAACAAAAAAAGGAAGTTAGATCGAAGCAAAAATAACACTTGTAACTCGAAAGAAAATAAATAAAGAAGGTATTTTTATTCTCGGCTTGCTTGATGTGGTAGTGTCTGGGATTTATTTGTTTTTTACCGAAAGGACAAAGCTGATGATCAGGGGTGTGTTTTTTTTCGAAAAGTTTTCCTCAGATCTAGCTCTCCCCGAGGCTATTTTGTGAAAACAAATCAGAGTTTTGAAAAGAGAAGATAATAGGCTTTCAAATGGTATAAAAATATTTTGGGTTCACCACCGATGAACGACGGTCGGCGAGGCGGTGTTGGCCGAAATCTGGGTTTGGGGTTGGATGTTCTTCATGTCATGAAGAACACAAAGAACAGTTGAGAGAATTTGAAGCTTGGGTGTTATGATCGGTTTGGGGGAGGAAGAAAAATGAATTATGTTTGCAAAATTTGGGCTTTTAGCCAACCCGAAACCCGATTGTTTCACCCTAGGATACGCGTGTTTTCACACGGGTAGGGTCTAATTGTAGAACTGGTCCCCAATTATTTTTTAAAATCCATTTTTTCCTTTAAATTTAATTTTAGTTCCAATTTTTCTTTTAAATTCGCCACTTACTTTAATTTTTCTTTAAATTCAATCCTTTTTAAATTCAATTCACATTTTTCACTTAATTGTTTTTTAGGTTATTATATTTTATGAGTTTTTGATCTAATAATTTTTATTTATTTCTCTTATTTTCTTTTCTTTTCTTTTAATTTTATTATTTTTTATTCATTTTAAATTTTACTTTAATTTAATTAATTTTCATCTTTGTTTGTAATTAATTTTGCAATTGACCTTTTATTCTTATTGTAATTCAATTAACTTTTCCTTTATCTTCTTCATCATTTTGTGAATTTAATATATACAATCCTTCCTTTTATTTGGCATTAAATTGTTCTATTTATTTTTTAACATTTCATTCTGTTAATTTTATGTCCATTTATTTTTCAGCATGTATGTACCTACGTATCTTTTTTCCTTTCTTTATTTAAAGTATTATAATTTAATTTTTGTTAATTATTTCTTTTGAATCACTCCATATTTTATTTTTATAATATAACCTCTTTATGATCCTTTTTAGGGGTACTTTAAATCAATTAAGGATAAGTAATTTGGATCGAATTTTTACTTTTTAATTTAACTTGTAATTTTCTTAAGACAACTGGAAATTAAATTAGTACCGAAAGGGCAGTACAAGGGTGCTAATCCTTCATTGACTATAACCGGCTCCCAAACCCGACATATTTCTGGTAAAACACAGATCATGTAAGGATGTGTCCGATCAACGTAGTTTTTATGTTTTAAAGATAAATGATCGGTGGTAACTTAAACCCATTTATTTAAGTTGAAGATAATTTCGTGCCCGCCCGAAAGACTGCATCGACAGTTTGGCAACTCTGCTAGGGACATGTAAGTGAGTCAGGCTAAGGCTAATGTTCGATTTTCTTCTTAGGTGAAAATTGTAAGTTTAAATTTTAAGTTAATTCTTTGATCCTTATTACTTACTTTTTATTATTTTTCAAATAAATAGTTGTACTGACGTTTTTAATGGTTTCAGATTATTAAACATTTTCATCTTAGGCTCTATACCTGAGCCCCAAACCTCTTCTTAAGTGGAGGTGAAAGTGACGCCTTTGTGGGAATTTATTCTCCTTATAGGCCTAGCAAGTAACCTTCGGGATTCATATACCTTATGTATTCATGTGAATTTATTCTCCATATAGACATAAGGGAATTTATCCACTCGAGTTTAACTTGGTCCACATAAGCTTGTAATGGGCTTAAGACTGAAGGTATGTGTTTAAAACATTTTGATGTTTCGATATAACAAATTAAATGTTATTGGACTTTAAGATTTTATAATCATTTTCAAATGTATATTCGATTAAACCATTTGAATATCAAAATATTACTCCAAGTTTTTCAAATGTCAAAAAGTGTAAAATTATGTTTTAATCTCAAAATATTTTTAAAACAAATATTACAAAGTATTTCGAGCCTTAATCGAGCCAAAAATAATTTTAAATAGAAGGACTTCAAGAGAAACCAGATTGCCCAGATGGTACTGGTACCCCCAGATGGTACCGATACCCCCATGCCAATTTTGGCTCCGAGAAAAACTGAATCCTCGGATGGTACCGGTACCCCCCAGATGATACCGATACCCCTAGTCACTTAACGGTCGAAATATTTGAATTTTACACTGCTTGTACAGATACCCTATGAAGGGGTATCGATACTACTCAAGCTCCTCAACTGTTTTATTAATTGTTTTCACACAATAACGACTCTATTAACTCCACTAATGATCCCTAACGTTCAGAAGTGATCCAATGAGTATTTAAACAAGCTTACCATTGATAAAAAACAATCAACAAGAATTGAGAGAGAATCAAAGAGAAAGCATCAAACCCCAAGTTTGAGAATTTTCAGGCCTATTTCATTCAATATTCATTTTTTTCTTTCAAGAACACTTATTGTGCTCAATTGTATTATTCTTGAGTGTTCTTTCTTTATTCTAGAATTGTGCAAACATCTTGCCTTGTGAGGTTTTTCTGTAAGTTTGTGAAATTTGTATTATTCTCTTTAGGAGATAGTGTTCTCAAGAATTTGGGGTATAATTCTTGAGGGATTTATAAGGTTACTATTTATCCTCAAAAGAAAGACAAATTAGTGAATTTGTGGAAAATCCTTAGTGTGGATAGCTAAGGTAGTGAACGTAGACTTTGGTTGAGAAAGTCGAACCACTCTAAATCACTGTGCAATTATTTTTTATTTTTTGCAAAAGCTTCCACCGAAATTTTTATTGCCAATTCACCCCCTCTTGGCCGATTCGTCGATCGATTAAATCAATAATTGGTATCAGAGCCTCACTCATTTGATGGTTTAATCGCCTCTTGAGTCGATTCATGAAGAGTTATATCGATATTCAAGTCATCAATGGCCAGTACTTCAAACTTCGACATTGTTCTCGATTCAATGCCTGTCAACAAGCCTCCTTTCTTCAATGGAGCTAATTATGCTTATTGGAAAAATAGAATGATGTACTTCATTCAAGCAAGTGACATGGGAGCATGGAATGTCATAGAAGACAGATACATCAAACCTTCCACTCATCCAAGATTGTGGAGTGAATGAGAGACAAGAATGTTCCAGCTCAACTCAAAGGCCATCCATATCATATTTTGTGCTCTTGGACCGGATGAATACA